AATTCAAGAATTGGTAGGATGGCATCTAAAATTCGATAATTGACAAGACATGTGCATCAAAACATGAATTTATTCTGCTAAGTACTGACCTATATCTTTCGGGCATGTTGGTGTTCCAGGTCCAGGTGATATGACAATATTGTCAAAAGTCTTTTCTTTATACAAGCAATGATAGATGTACTCCCATGTCCACTCGTCATTATGAACCACCACAGGCGGCACTATTAAAGGAAATAATACACAAGCAGAAACAAAGAGAAAGAATGTTAGGACCCAAAAATAAAATTGATATAAAAAGAAAAACTCATAACAAAAAGTAAAAGGTTTCGCTATTCGTGTTTACTGAATGATAATCTAGCACAAGTATAAGCTACAAAATCATTTCAGGTTTCTGAACGCCTACATGAAATTTTCAAATATTATTTCTTTTATAAGGTGCGATCCTTGGTTCAAATTTTGCCAGGGTGTCCATCACCATGGTGTCACATGTGATAGACTAATGAAAATGATTCCATAATCCCAACTTAATAAAGGCCTCTTCCAATCTTCATTATGCATGACTGCACAATATTAATTGTTTCTTTAACAACTTATTTTACTTCTTACTTTGTCTGCCATGAATACAATAATTACGTTCTCAAATGGTTCTCCAAAGTCAGTGTCAATTTCTTATACCTAGTCCTTCCAAATAAACGAATTTTATTGCCAACCCATCTTGCAGGATTCTAGCATTAAAACGAAAGAAAACTCTTATACTAAGATGGCAAAGGATAGCTTCCTCAAGCTCTAATTATAAGTTCCGAGTAAACGGTATAAATGCATTGAACAAGGAAAGTGCTCAAGAATTCAAGTATGAATTTGGCTAGTATAGAACAACGTTCAACGTCTGCATAATATCAGAGGAAAAACAGACACATAATCCACGCAACGGTATAAGCAGAATAGATCCCGCTCTATAACTTCAAAGAAAACAGAGAAGTACAAACAAAACAAATGACATCCTGATACAGTAAATCAATCTATCCCCATGTATTCAGATGCGGAGCCAAGTCGCACGAATTGGATCAGGAACGTTAAAGAACGAATGAAAAGGCCATTTTGTCACAAGAGCACACAAATCCCGAGATTCCAGAGTAAATAAAAAGGAACAGTAGCACGAGAACGAATGAAAGATCGACAAAGACAAGGAGCTCACCGCCATTAACGACAGACAATTCTTGATATATGTTGTACGTATAGCTATCGTAGTTGTCGATCAGCAACGTCCGCACGACGTCATCGCTCGAGATCTCATTCTCCCCCTCCTCTTCCCCGTCCTCGGCATCGCCAGGGTTCCCCAACCCTCCTCCGTGGGCGCGCCGCCGGGCCACCAGCGGCGAGATGGGTCGCGCGGCGAGGTCCGGAATCAGGGCAAGGGAGCGCGGCGCGAGGCGAGGCGACAGCACCGGCCGCGGAGCGAGGCCTCGAGCGACGGCCCGGGCGCTCGGTCTCCACGAGATCGCCGACATCTCCCTCCCTACTCCTCTCCTCTCCTCTCCTCTCTTTGGGTTGCGGGCGAAGGAAGAGAAGAGAAGAGTCGGGTGGAGAGCGGAGCAGCTCGTGGCGGCTTTTATTCCTCCTTTAAGTTGGGTTGCGGTGTGCGCGCGGGTAGGCTCGGGGTAACGTGAGCCGGCGAGAGGCGCCAATCTCAAGTGAGCTCGATCGGGGGAACCATAATGGCCGATAGGGCAGGCGTCATCTGCACGCGACCAAAGAGGGGGCCGCACATGAGATGCACGTGAGTGAGCATGGAAGAATAGAGTTAAATAAAACAAAAATATATTTATTTATTTTAAATATTAAAAAATAATATTGAAAATTGGAATAAAAGCATAAATATAGTATGCTTCGTACACATTGGAGGATGTCATAATTGACATCAAATTAAGAAGGTCGAAGTAATTTAAGTAAGAGTCCATATTATTACATTTTGGCGAAATTAATCAATCAATTATGTGAAAGAAAGTTCAAAGTGACAGTGAAAAAAGCAAGTCTATAATTATACTAAACACTTAATAGTTCACGGAAATTTTAATTTACAATTTTTTTAATTAAAACCTTATTTATTTAATAAATCAAATCATTACTTATTAGAAAATATTAAATATTATTATGATCGGCTTTAGTTATCAACCCAACATGACAAAATGAATCCTTCTTAAATGTTATTACATCTAAAAAAGATTAAATTTATTCAAACAAAGTAAAATATAATCTAGTCTAAGTGATAGATTTTTACTTAAAGAAAAAAAATCATATCATGTGTCTCATTTTAATTTTTTTTATATAAAAAATTATGTTAAATAATATCTCTAAATGGGTCTGACTTTATTACCAATGATATATATATATATATATATATATATATATATATATATA